GTTTTTGGGCTTGTGGACCCTATAGAGGGTCATAATTTTTATCCGATTTAAAAAAACGTGTTGATATATCACCGTTACACTCTAAGGACGGCTGTGTTCGAATTTCATGAAAATCGGCCCAAAACTGACAGACAAAATGGACGCCCCACGTTCTCAAATTGCGTAAAAATATGGTATATCAAGGTTGTGGATCCTATAGAGGTCACAATTTTTATCCGATTTTGTTGAAACTTGAAATGTAAGTTTATAACCCAAAGATCTTGGTTCCTTACGATATTTGTGCATATCGAATTGTAATTTCCTGAATTATGGCCCTTGATTGTAGGAAAAATCACTTTCGTTTTACATGTAGCTTGTTTTCTATCCATCTCTCGAAAATGTGGGTGTATCCTGCCTGGCAGCCGCTGGTTCACATTTCTGCCTACATAAATAAAGTATATTTTAATCAGAAAATCAATGAGTCCTTTGGAAAATCAAAGTGTGGGTATACATAATTAGTGAAACGGGGATATTTCTAACAGTACCAGTGGTCGTGTGGAAAAGTCATTGAGAAGACACGTGTCACGTGATGTAAACACGCTATATTATTACGGCGTTTGCAATCTTCGTGGAATGAACACATGGGAGTTTATATCAGTATTAATTGCTGTTTATTTATCATTAAACAATAAAAAGCTGTGAATGAAAACTAGTGCTCCTACGCCTAGTCAGATAGCCGTAAACTGTTAGAACTGGACGGTTAAACGGTTCAAATTCAACGGTACGTTTAGTCGGAGATGTCCCCCATTACATAGTTGTGTCTGATTATATTCCTCTTTATAACAAAACTTGCCCGTTGTCATTTTGTATTTGATGTTTGAAAATCTTAAAATGTAACAGTCATCCTACGATGTCGACTGCTAAAAAATAATACTATTAATAGCACTCGTCGTAGTCATACGGCAAAGTCAACGGACCTGGCCCCGTGTTCACAAAGCATTCTCAGACTTAAGTTGAGAATTTACTCAAACTGGTTTGTCTTATTTTAAATAAAATATAGCCCTTTATAAAACGTTTGTTGTTTTAATGTATCAGATATATCAATAAGAAACTATGTGCAAAGTTTTGTGTTTCTGGATCATAGGTATTTCTCATAAACAGTGATTGAAAGTTGAGCAAATTCTCAACTTAAATTTGAAAAATCTTTGTGAACTCGGGGCCTGGTTCTGACTTTATCTATATTGTTAATCCAATCTAAATACTAATCGGCATTTCTAACTATATTCTACCTTGTTTAGTATTTATTTATAAACGTAACCACTATTCAAAATATATTCATAAAGGCTAAAAAATGATATTATACTAGATCCGTTACGACATTCAACACGTTTCATATCTCGTAATTTCTCGCAAGAATTCTACTTTGGCTTTTAGTCAAATTAACCAATCATAAAAATTCTACTTACAAGTGAGGAATTATTTCTTTATTGTCCAATCAATAGACGCCTTCCAATTTACTTTATTTTATTCTTAGTAACATTGTGTAATCGTAATATTATCGCCATCTGTCATGTACGAAGGGAAACAGAGTATTGTCTTGTATATTATAGTAGATATATATTGAATTAAAAAATGTTTCAAATGAACCAAGTTAACCAGGTAAATAAATAACTACGTCGTTAGATAGTTTAAATTTTCATTAAAGAATTGTACATGTCTGAAAAAATTCCTGAAATTTTTGCGCGTGTAATGCCTTTTAGGCGAGTATAGCGTGCGCACGAATAATGACTCGCACCTCCTGACAAGCTCTGTTATATGTTTAAAATTGATACCATACGGTTAACGGTTACTAACCGGTTAATAGCTACGGCTATTCGAATAACAAAAAGTCCTAACCGTAGGAGCACTAATGAAAAGAAAAGGAAGACATATTTTCACAAAATACATAGAGAAAAAAAAATTGCGGTATCTTCGGTAAGGAATGTTGTAGTGTTGAAAAAGGATTGAGATTTGTGATCCGAATACTTTTGTTTGCTATCCGAATACTATTCGTCGGATAATTCGGAAACGTGAAATTCTTGAATAAAATCACATCAAAAGTTCAAATACTCATAATTTCTTACTTATTTCAATGTTTATGAGTGTCTGTGTATGCCGAGTATGAAATCTTACTTTCCATTTGCAAATTGTTTGAGCCGCGAAGAAAAAAACCGTGCCTACCTTTAGCAGCAATTATTAAGACTATCCATGATATCCAAAAAAATCAACAAGGTGAATAAATTTGTGTATAACTACTCCTGTAATCTGGGGCCCTCCCACTTATCATTTTTGCTCAATCAACAAGAATGAAAAAAGTAAATAAAAACATCTAACATTTATTCCGTGAAGGTCGTTTGCCTCATTCTGATAATCTACTGCTATTGAACCAATCAGTAAGTGAGAATATACATGACCTAGGTCGTTAAGAATAAATTACATTGCAGGAAGTCTAAACACAGTGTTAACTTGTATCCTGTAAACCCAAGAAGTAGCTTCTTTCTAGCGTAAACCAGCGCAAGGAGTGAATGAATATTTTTTTATTTAGACTACTGTTTTCGTTGCACTGCATTAATATTTTTATTAGTAACTATCGCTAAATAATACGCGTGATATTAACATTTATGCTCAAAGCTGCGTATGTGATCAATAGCATTGGGGAAAATTTCAAAATAATCAGATGTAAAAATGGCTAAATATAGAGCATAGGGAATGTCAGAATATATTGTAACGAATAGTAAACGGATAGTAAAATGATTAGGATAACCCTTATTTTGTATCCGTTAACGGATATCCGAATAGTAGTTTCAACACTAGAATGTTGTCATTCGACAATACTCGTTAATTTTAGAAAAGTTATTTTTAGTATCGGAAGCTATTACCGGTAGAACTATCGTGTGTTTAGTAAGTTATTCTGACTGAAGTTAGTCTATTCGGCTATTATTATTGCACGGACTGGAACTAAAATGCTTTAAATAATCACAAAGTATTGTTCAATTTCAAAGAATTTCTGTCGGAGAAAATCGGCCTGTCCGCGGGCGAATGGAATGCAAAATTTCAGTTGTCCAACAAAAAAATTAACCTGTCCCGGGCGTCAGGCGATGGAAATTGTGCACCGCTGATCTCTCCTAGCCTGTCAGAACAGTGTTAGATGATCCATAGAATTTAATGAAAATCCACGCTCTTCAAAACCTGAAAATGGGTTGAGGTTAAATCATATCCAGCCAAAATAGATATAAATTCAAATCTAACATTCTATCCATATATACAGTATCTGACGATGAAAACAGTGTTATTGTCTCTTTTGCTTACATGTATCTACTTTAATATTTATCTAGTGAAGGACACTTTGGTATCGGACTCAATCCATTGTTTTCATATTCCTGTTGGATGCGAATTCTACACAAGTTTTGCATATACATGTATGTGAAAATTAGTCTGTTATATGAGCAGTTGCTGAGAAATAGGCAATTTTGCATGCGTCACTTTCCATGTTTTTTGGGCTGTAAAGAAGTAAATTATTATTCGTTTTTATACGCCCACATTTTCATGTGGACGTATATTGTCGTCGCCCCTGTCCGATATTGGCATGTATCGGATCGAAACTTCATGGATTATGGCCCCTGTTTGTACGAAAAATCACGTTTTTAGCTTGTGGACCCTATAGAGGTCACAATTTTTATCCGATTTTGTGGAAACTTTAAATGTAAGTTTATAACCCAAAGATCTCGGTTCCTTTCGATATTCGTGCATATCGGACCGTAACTTCCTGAATTATGGCCCCTGATTGTACGAAAAATCACGTTTTTAGCTTGTGGACCCTATAGAAGTCATAATTTTTATCCGATTTAAAAAAACGTATTATAATATCACCGTTACACCCTAAGGACGACTGAGTTCGAATTTCTTGAAAATCGGCCCAAAATTGACAGACAAAATGGCCGCCGTTCGTTCTCAAATAGCGTAAAAATATGGTATATCAAGGTTGTGGACCCTATAGAGGTCACAATTTTTATTCGATTTTGTTGAAACTTGAAATGTAAGTTTATAACCCAAAGATCTTGGATCCTTTCGATATTCGCGCATATCGGCCCGTAACTTCCTGAATTATGGCCCCTGATTGTACGAAAAATCGCGTTTTAGCTTGTGGACCCTATAGAGGTCATAATTTTTATCCGATATAAAAAAACGTATTATTATATCACCGTTTCACCCTAGGGTCGACTGAGTTCGCATTTCGTGAAAATTGGCCCAAAATTGGCAGACAAAATGGTCGCCGTTCGTTCTCAAATAGCGTAAAAATATGGTATATCAAGGTTGTGGAACCTATAGAGGTCACAATTTTTATCCGATTTTGATGAAACTTGAAATACATATTTATAACCCAAAGATCTTGGTTCCTTTCGATATTCGCACATATTGGATCATAACTTCCTGAATTATGGCCCTTGATTGTACGAAAAAATCACTTCTTTTTTTGAGCTTGTCCATCTCTTGCAAAATGTGGGCGTATCTTGCATGGCAACCGCTTGTTCAGGTTTTTTTTACCTGTCAATTTTGACTAGGTCAAACCAATTTACATTTTCACTGTCACCGGAAATGACATCATTTGGGGAAAAACTGTATTTTTAGCCTTAAAAAGAAATATTTTATTCAAATGATTTTTATTTGTAATGTTATTAAAATCATGATATTTGATTCAAATCAACAAATAGAATAAACCCATACGATCATACAGATACCACACAATGGTTTCTAACTTGTACGGGTTGCAGAGAAATAGACGATTTTCTTCAATTCATTTTTCATGGTTTATGGTCCATAAAAGTGTCAATTATTATCCGATTTTCATAAAATTTTCACCATGTGATACCTTGTGCCATTTATGATTCCATAAAACTAATTTAACATTTTCATTATCACCAGAAGTAAAGTCATAAATACAATCTTTTAGATAAGTTTTCATATTTTCTATTTTATTAAAGATTTGCAAGGAAAGAAAGAGATTGGAAAGCAGCTGAAAAGAAATTATTAGAAATTGAATCTACATTAACTGAATTAAGAGGAAGGACAGCTGATGCTGAATCACAGAGAAAACATTTTGAAAAAGAAAATGATGTAAGTTCTGTCATCTGGAGGATTCATCCAGCTCTGACTGTTATCATTTAAAAAAATAGTTATCTCGTAGATGATCATAGACAATTTTAGAAATTGGTCCCAAACTAGAATAAAAGTATATACATGTTCATGTACATAACATTATAAACGAACTAAATGGACTTCATGTATTTGTGTACGATTGAATTTGTCATGCTATGATGAAATCTGTTAATGTTGAACTGATTTATTATGTTGCAAGTAAATTCTACTGGTGTGCAAAATTAGCAATAATTTGTCATTGTTGATTACCCTATCTATTGATAGTTGATGAAATCCTGATATTGATACAGTAATTTGCATGATATCTGAACATAATACATAATAGATATTTTTATCTGGAAAATCTGATCGCTTGTTAAATTTTGTCATTCAATCACTTGTAACTTTTGATCATCATACATTGTTCACACTGTATTATGAAAAAAAAATGCATTTTTAGACACCCTAATTTTGGGTGGACGTATATTGTCGTTGCCCCTGTCCGTCCTTCCATGTTTCCGCTCACATTTGTTTGTGGGCACTCTGCTGGTCTCAATTTTAATACGATTTTAAAGTGCACATAAGATGGGCCTGGAAACTTTAAGATACGTGTAGCCAATGGTTACTATATCCACTTTACGGCAAGTTCACGCCAATCTGGTTGAAATTAATTCAGTTATCTTCACTCAGTCGTAAAAATAGACCTCCTGTAAAAACGACTTTGCCAATTATCGAAAACACTCTTAATCCCCTCAGACGTCAGTGACGTCACAGTGACCGAATGCATATTCGGAATGTTTATTCCTTAATTACCTATATACAGCCGGTGTGTGTATTCTTTAACGCCTGAAGGATTCCTTAATCCCCTAATTAAATAAAACAATTGACTACGGAATAATTTGTTTTGTAATTCATTTTAATTTAAGATCCAATTTAGAGTGCCTACAACTTTTAAACTTTGAAGTCTTGAACTCTTAATTTTTTTACAATATGGAACTTATTGGACGAACACTTTTAATATGTACATGTAAATACTATACAGGTCCAGCTTTGTGGTTTTTACTGTGAGCACTTCGCTTTTCCACATAAAGTGTAGTGTCGTTAATATCTGTCATTAATTAATCAATCTGACTATAAAAGTTATACAGGCATGGGTCATAAACTAATTTACACGTTGGTGTTAGCAGTGAGTGTTAGCGGGATTAAGAATGTTGATTAGGTATTTATCTTTTTTTTACGCCGGCCAGATCAAAGACATCACTCTAAGTGGAACGTGTGCGTAGGAACTAATGGTAGAATCATACACACACACATTAATTGTATAAAATAATTAATTTTTACTAATAAGTTGTTAAAAATTACTATATACCCAATAATTATTGCTCACCGGTGTTTTTGTCATCAAGTAGCCTCGTATTATTTGTTGATTGGCGTTTAAACAACATTTAATTGATGGATGGATTAACGTTTTTGATACGATTAGGTTATAATGTCTAACATCGGTTATCTTCTTTATCATAAAAGTATTTTACAATTGCATTGACAATTTAATCACTCACCAAACGGCACCAGGAACTCCACGAATGATCCCGTGCAATTTTCGCGGTGAAGTTTAACCTCATTTACTACACCCGTAGTACATGGAACGGTACATGATAATAAGATACCAAGCGTTGATTGGCAGAGAAATGGGTGCGATCTATTGTACATGTTATCCAGAGTCATCGGAAAATTCCATATTCACTGTAGTTGTTCTTTATGTATAGAAATGGTTATTATTATATATAGCTAATAATTAATATATCGACAAATGACTGGCACCATTTGTATTTCTGTACTTAAGTTTGGGATATCAAGTATTACGGGGTTATCCAAATTACCGGTAAATGCGCTAATTTCTTGAGTCATCTTCATTTGAAACGTGACCTATTTAAACAAAGGCAGCTTAAATTGATCTACGGCATGATACAGCATTATAAATTCACTCTAAAATATTCCAATCACAAATGTCTAATCTATACCAATGAAAGACGATAATTCGGTGATTACGATTAGGCCAGTCACGTGGTAATTGGACCGTCAATAGACGCTTGTCCAGTTGCCGTGTGTATTACAAGTGCTATATTGTACAGACAGTGAGATATTGTATAGATAATGTATATCTTATGTGTAGTGCCTGTCACCAGCCAATCAACTGGATTAAGGTCGTAATTGAAAAATCGAAAAGCGTTTTGGCGTGTCGTATACTTAAACGTTAACAGCGGACTTAATTTTAATCAGATTGGTGTGAACTTGCCGTAAAGTTGATATAGTAACCATGGGCTATACATGCATGCAATTTAGATTTTTGATCTTACGTGGTCTTTAATGAAACTTAAAATATATGTTTGTAACTTCCTGGATTATGGCCCAATATTGTTCGAAAAATCTTGAAATGAGGGCATATTTTGCATAATAACCGCATTTTCTTAAAATAGGGAGCAACAGTGGCTCAGTAAGACGTTGGCCCAATGTTCGATACCTACTTTCACCAGGATTTGCCCATGTGACTTCCCCCACATGTCGGTGGTATAGAAGGTATAGTCGTTCAGATGGGATGAAAAATGGAGGTCCCATAATACATTGGCGTGCATGTAAAAGATCTCTTGGCAATTTGAATTTGATATAAGATCAGGCCATTGTCCGGGAAAAATTTGCCTCAACGCATACTGTATGGTGTATGCTTGTCTTCATTTTTCTTAATAAATTGATTTAGTTTCAAAAATGATATCAGAGCCTCCTGAGGATGTATATTGGAATACTGTTGATTGCTATCACTAATGGTAGTATATTGTTTTTTCTCTTTCAGAAACTACGAAGCGAAATTGCTGCTTTAGAACGTCAACTAGCAGCTTGTAAAAAACAGTTAGAGGAAGAAACCTTACGACGTGTTGATCTTGAAAACAGAGTTCAAAGTCTTAAAGAAGAACTTGCTTTCAAATCACAAGTATATGAATCGGTAAGCTTTATTATAACAAATGGTTGGTCACATGTACATGCACACCAGGCCATAAGAAAATGAGTTCAATAATCTATCACTCTCACAAGATTTTATTTGAAGGTGAGTAGATGAGCATACAAAGTAAGGTTGCAACGATACAGAAAAAATAAATTGCGATATCTCACGATATTGGTAAAATTAATTATTGCGATATCATGGATTATCGTCTGGAGTAAATTATCGCGATGATTAGAATTATCATGCATCAAAAATCCAATATCGTGATAAGTACTGATATAAAATTGAGGTGTATAAATGGATTAATGTATCTAGTGTATCCATTTGGTATTTAGTAATGTATGTGAGATGTACTGATGAAGTGAGATGTATATACAGTAGAATTTGTACGAGCAGCCACTCCTATTCAGCGACATCTCCTTGTAAGCGGTCACAAGAAATTCTCCCCGTAGAAATTCTATTGTTCCATCTCTTTAATCAACGGTCACTCCTCTAACGCGGCCAGCGGTCACTATTTTACTAATAAATTTAACAAAATAGGGCTTATTCATCAACGGCCATTGTTGAACGATACCATCTTGTCGTACTTCATACCACCTCCGCTAATCTTGTGATTAATAGTTAATTATCTACTCCCCCATCGATCAGGTTCAGGTAAAATGCGCTGGTTAAAATATGAAATAACCATATTTTGATATAGATTTTCCGTATTCTTGTGTTACAATACAATAGAAACATTTCAGTTAGATGAAATTTGATTCGCTTGTTGAGTTATAGATGGTTTTGACAATATCATCGAACGTGAAAGTGCTGGGAATACCCACCAGAGTCCAGTCGAGATAGGTACATTCGCGTACCGTTCGTCCTAATTTTTTGATCTTCAAGAAAATAATAGTGGTCCCATTCGTTCGTTCGTTTACTCAAGTTTAACGAACGGGACCACTATTATTTCCTTGAAGATCAATAAATTAGTGGTACGCGAATTTACCTATGTCCCGGCATAGTTCGCCATTTTGTAAGGCGTGCGTAATTTAGTACATAAGATATAATTGGACAATACATGAATAATAATAAAATGTGTTATAATTTTAGCCAATGAAAAAATTGATTATTCAGGTTCGCTGTTGAATATTAGTGACTGTCTTACAGTTTATAATATGCTTTCCCATTAGCCGAAATGACTGCTACACGCGCCATTTTGCGGAATTCATCCAATCAAATAGTGTAACTTATTCCATGGTATGTGGGCCCCTACATGTGTATTATCAACATCTTTAATTCTTAACGAGGAATAAACAACGAGAATTGACTTCTGATGTTTGGTAGAATTTTATTTAGATGTTATTAACGCAATTTTTGGAATATTTTTTTGGTGTTTAAAATGTAAGCGCACGATTTTCGGGGTCCTCGAGCTAAGCGCGCGGGCGAGGAGAATCAATACAACACGGCCTAATGAACATTTTCTGCTCAGGGTAAGAAGAGCGATAAGCAATTTGATTGGGTGAGTCTCTGAAACACAATAACTCTCCTAATTGAGGTAGAATGTTCAAACATGGAGCTGACCTTAAAAATATCTTTGTTTCACCAAACCCGACCCACAATCGAGGAGAAGGGTCGGTAGGTCGGTTTTTTTTTCAGATTTTTTTTTTAAAGTCAGAGAAATCAATACAGAAAACTTATTAGCTGTATACTACAGATTCATTAATTTTGTTTAATGAATTTGGGGTCTGACGTAAAAAGTAACGAACTGAAAGTTTTTATTAAACTTAAGAGCTAATTTGACAGCTTAATAATTTTCCGGGTGGAAACATTCGTCTTCTTTATTGGCAAACAAATCAATGACATCGGGATTTTTCGTGATACCCGACTCGCATACGATTAGCCACGAACTTGAAGTGTGAAACTCCTTCAACACGTTTTTAACGATAGTGCGCGTTGTGCTTTCATTTTTCTCGAAAACGGATATTGAAAATATCGTCGTCATGTTTAAAACTACGCACCACAGACATAGAGGCAGAATTATTTCGTGGGAATGGACGTGTATTCGTCTGCAACCATTTTGTTGAGAAGCGACACCTATGACGCTTTCGTCTTGATCAACCAGTTTCAATAATGAATCAAACCATAGCCATAGTATAGGGAAATAACTCTCATGATATATTTCAGGTTGACACACAAAATAAAATAAAAAGATCGTGGAAAAGTGCAATAAAATAATTTAAGTCGGGGGTGGTTTTAGTTAGTCGGTCGCGTTAGGCGAAACAAAGATATTTTTAAGGTCAGCCTGGTGTACTGTAAGCATAGATAAGCAATTTGATTGGTTAATGCTTTGGGACACGATAACTTTAGTTCTCATTAAGTGAAATTGAGGACACTTGGCGTAGAGTTTTATCACATCAATAACTTGAATAAGTTCCATAATAAGTATTTTCTGCTTTGGGTAAGCAGAGCGATAAGCATTTTGATTTGTCGAGACTTTGGAACACAATTACTCTTCTTCTAGTTAAGGTAGAATGTTCAAACTTGGTGTAGGCATTCTTTAGGTGAATGCCTTGATGGAGTTTGATGATAAATATTGTCGGCTTACGGTAAGCAGAGATAAGCAATCTGTTTGGTTGATGCTTTGGGACCAATAACTTTAGTTTTAATTAAGTGAGAGTATAGATTCATTATATCATTATCTTGACTAAGTTTGATGATGAGAATTTTCTGCTTAAGCGGTGGACACACTAGCCGAATGATTCGGCCGAATCAATCGGCGTCGAAATTCGCCTAGTGTGTCCACTGTCATTCGGCCGAATAATTCGCCCGAATCAAACAGGTTTGATATATTCGGCCAAATTATATTCGCCTGGTGTGTCCGCTTCGACGAAGCATTCGGCCGAATATAGAATTCATTAGCCAATCACCACTCATATCGAGAAGTCACGTGATATATTGAAGACATAGACGCCGCCATGTTTAATCATGTGACGTGAAAGATGATGCAATCGACATGTTGAATCGGGCGAAGCATTCGGCTAGTGTGTCCACCCATTCGGCCGAATAAAATTTGGCGCCGATTGATTCGGCCGAACGATTCGGCCAATGTGTCCACTGCTTTAGGCTAAGGATCGATAAGCAATTTGATTGGTCAAGACTTTGGAACATAACTCTGCTTTTAATTGAGGTAGAATGTTTAAACTTGATGTTGATGTTCATTAGGTGAATGTCTTGACTGAGTACAATGATTAACATTTCGAGCTAAAGCTAAACAGTGCTAAGCAATTTTATTGGTCGATGCTTTGGGACCAGATAACTTTGATTCTATCTTATAGAGAGTGTTGAGACTTGGTGTATAGTTGATAATCGGTTTGATTGCTTTATACTTTTGATTATGTGTCATCTTTTTATTTTGGGATTTCGGCGGGGGACATCAGCCTCACTGTTGGCTTGTTTATACAGCAAATAATTTTAGATTGTGTGTATTTTTGACTGCGGAGGAGGAGTGCCCAAACTATTTTTTCCTGTTAAGTTTAAACAATATTTTATTCAATAAACTGAATTGGATTGAACAACAGGCAAAGGCCTATATAAGTTCTCTCCAAACATAAAATAGTTAGATCTTATGGTCCTGTTGGATTCTTGAGGTAAAATAATTCCAGGCGTTTCCCAAATCATGACCAAGCCTGGAAATAAGGCATCTGTCACAATGTCAGGCACAGATTCAGCACAAAACCTCTGGGCCCTTATTCACGAATACTTACACTAAGTTACAACCGAAATTTTAAGAAATACTGCAACTTCATTGAATATATGCAAATTGATTTTACTGGTCAGCCAATCGAATTGCAGCATTTCTTAAAATTTCGATTGTATCTTAGTTTAAGATTTCGTGAATAAGAACCCTGGTGCCTTTCATTTTGTGCGGCACTGATTTGTCTTTTTTATTGATATTAATACATGTCCGGCACTAAGTTGAAAATGGTAGGTACTATTTCATTAGTGCCTGACATTTTGTTATGTACATGTACATTTAAAACTGTTATTTCCAGGCCTGATCATGACGTTCAAGACATCGGTAATTGTACAGTTTTGATACATGAGCTATGTCATCTAAGACTACTTATATTATATAAGGAATATTTTTATTATAGGAATTGGAAGAAAGTAGAGTGCGAACAACAACAGAAATCTCACAAATTGATGGTGCTTTCCAGGATGAATACGAGGCTAGATTGGCTGATGCGCTTCATGAGCTACGAGAACAGCATGAAACTGATCTTCTTTCAGTCAAATCTGAACTGGAAGTACTATATCAAACCAAAGTTAGTATTGTCCAGGCAGTATAAGTGCTTTTTTCTTATTTAGTTTTCTTTTATCTTGGGTAGTACCATTTACATGTCCAGATTGAAATGTGGTCTTGTCGAATATAAGGGAAATGGGGGTTTAACGTCCTACTGTTCTGTTCCGAACTGAGCTAATGAAGACAGGCATACGCCATACAGTGTTCTATTGGGGAAATTTTGCCTGGTCAGCAGCACTGCGAATCCAACTGTCATGGGATCTTTTACGTGCATGCCACTGTGTACACGAGACCTCGGTTTTTCGTCCCATCCAAATGACAAGACAGCTGTCCTTGGCGGGCATTACTGACAAGGGGGAACCACGCTTGAAAATCTGGATGAACTTTCTCGGCCAATGCAGGGATCGAGCACCCGGCCTCCAGGCTAGCAAGCCAGTGTCTTCCCCACTTAGCCACCGTGACCCTGTCTGGTCGTATATAATCATCCCACTCCATCGGTTGTCATCCACAATTGGTTGTGGATGCTCTAGACGGTACCGTTTGATTGACATAAAATTTATATAGGCCTACCATGTTGATTTTTATACACTCACATTAAAATGTGGTCGTATATTGTCGTTGCCCCTGTCTGTCCGGCGTCCACAGTGGCTTGTGGGCGCACTAGAGTCTAAAGTTAATATCCAATTGACTTTAAATTTATACACAGTGTTTAAGGTCATTAGACGAAGAAGCCTATCAATTTTCACACTTTTCCAGAGTTATGGCCTTTGATCTCTTTGAAAAATCTTGTGGACTCTCAGAGGCTAAAGTTAATATCCGATTGACTTTAAATTTATACACAGTGTTCAAGGTCATAAGATAAAGAAGCCTGGCAATTTTCAAGGATTTTCAATGATTATGGAAATTGATATTAAATGTTTTGTATGCTAAATGTTAGAATAGGGAAGAGCTAGAAGCCAAATAGGTTGTTACTCGTAATCAGATTTTCGTATGTTGTAAATGTTTTCATTTCTGACAAAAGTAAAAAAATAATGACAAGCCTTGTTGACTCCACGGGCGACGTAGCTTCTGTGGGCGTATGTTTCATTGTCTGACTACCTGTCTTTATGAGAGGAAGAATCCTATTGATCAAATAAGTAAAGTATCCTCTAACCCAAAAAGAACAGAGGTTGTGTTGATAAGATAGGATTTAATGATAATGTTTTGGTGTTAGTTGACCTTCATCATTTACATCCTATTGATTTCTGATAAATAAGGGCAGATTTATGGTGATTGATTAGAGGAATCTTGTGGATGCTCTAAAAGCTGAACTTTTAACTTGATTTACTGATTAACTTGAAATTTATGCACAATGTTTATGATAATTGATCAATCTTCTGAATGCTCTATATACTAAACTTGTGCAGAAAAAAACTGATCAAAGATCTACTTCTTGGCATGTCCTGGTAAAATTATTCAAAATTATAAACGCTGTAAAAGAAACGAAAAATTTTTTTTTTTTTTTTTAACTTCTTCCCAAACAAATGGAATGAACCAAATGTGTACATTGTATTTTAGGTTGGAGATTTACAGGATCAAGTTGATAGAAGTGGATCTGCTGCTGGTTCAGCCTGGGAAGAAATGAGAGTGACAAGATCTAAACTAGATGAAATATCCTCAGAATTAGCTAGACTTAGATCAGAGGTATGTTTTCATTAACTTCATACTTCACTTAATCTGTATTGAATGCCTGAATATTCTCTCCTGCAATGTAGGTATTTGATATGCCGTTCAGATCACAAAGTTTAAATGATTTAGATTAATGGTGATCGTTACATTGCTTTAACTTGATGTCTGAATGGATAAAACGGTAGATATTCCTGTTAATGGAAGACTTGCTTCTTGTTTGTTGATTTCAAACTAGTCTCATATATTCTAGTTACCCCTGTCCCATCTGCCTACCCAACCTCTCCGGGGGCTCCGGTTTCCTCCCAATAGCGAATTATTGAAATAAAAAATTAACCATATGTTAGTTCCGAAATGACCTAGTTTGTGTCGAGTGGACGTTAAACCCCATCTCTCTCTCTCCCATCTGTCTCTCCACATTTGCTCGTGGAGCTCTTGAAGTTAACATGGCATCTGATTGCCTGTAAATTTATACACAGTGTTTTAAGGTCATGTAGTGTCTTATAAATACTTAGGAGATTTAATTGGCAGTGGTCGTATGTTTTGTTGCCTGGCAACCCATTTTTATGATTTATGAATTGTAAACTTTTTCTTAATATTACAAAACACAAAAAGTAGTAGTTGAATATTAGTGATAAGGTAAATCTAAAAATGTATATGGACATTTTGTTAATCTCGGTTACGTAATATATAATAATTGTCTTCCCTTCCATGATTTTCTTTCTTAGAATGCTGGTTATGAATCTAGAATTCGGGAATTGGAAGGTCAGCTGAGTAGAGATCGAGATATGTATATGGGACGTCTGCATACAAAAGATATTGAGTTATCACATCTGAGAGAAGAACTTGATACTCAGTTAAAAGAGTATGCTGAATTATTAGAAATCAAAATTAAATTGGATCGGGAAATCATGGCATATAGAAAATTACTGGAAGGTGAAGAAGAGAGGTAGCTATTGAAATATATATTTTTTATACGCCCACATTTTCATGTCCCTGTCCGTCCGTCCACCCGCCCTCAATTTGTTTGTGGACACTCTACAGGTCACAATTCTTATCCGATTTTGACGAAACTTGAAATATAGGTTTATCTCCAAAGGATCTTGAGTCTTCTCGATATTGGCATGTATTGGATCGAGACTTCATGGATTATGGCCCCTGATTGTTGTACGAAAAATCACGTTTTTAGCTTGTGGACACTCTGGGGGTCACAGTAATCACGTTTTTAGCTTGTGGACACTCTGGGGGTCACAGTTTTCATCTGATTTTAATGCAACTTGAAATGCATGTTTATAACCCAAAGATCTCAGTTCCTTTCGATATTCGCACATATCGGACCGTGACTTCCTGAATTACGAAAAATCAAGTTTTTGGCTTGTAGTCCCTCTAGAGGTAACAGTTTTTATCCGATTTAAAAAAAACATTTAAATATATCACTGTTACACCATAATGATGGTTGAGTGTGAATTTCTTGAAAATCGGCCCAAACTGCCGGGCAAAATGGCCGCCCCTTGTTCTCAAATAGTGTAAATATATGGTATATCAAGGTTATGGACCCTCTAGAGGGCACAATTTTGATCAGAGTTTGATGAAAATTGAAAATAAGTGTTTATAACCCAAAGATCTTGGTCCCTTTCGACATTCACACATATCGGATAGCAATTTCCTAAATTATGGTCCTTGATTGTACGAAAAGTCGCATTTTTAGCTTGTGGTCCCTCTAGAGGTCACAATTTTTATCCGATTTTGATGAAACTTGAAATATGTGTTGATAACCCAAAGATCTTGGTTCATTTTGATATTCGTGCATATCGGATTGTAACTTCCTGAATTATAGCCCTTGATTGTACGAAAAGTCAGGTTTTTAGCTTGTGGTCCCTCTGGAGGTCACAATTTTTATCCGATTTCCAATGCCCATTTCTTGTATTTGTTTATCGTCTACAGGCCGCATTTATTAATGTATCAACTTGAAACTTTGCATGCTTATTTTTTATACCATAAGGAACATCCCTTTTGTTTGTGGTGCATGCCCAACCTCTTAAAGATACATTATGGGAGATTCGATAACAAGTTGGCAGTTCTCACTATAATAGTTTAAAACTAGATAATGTAAAGGCAATTTGCTGAAAATTTCACTGTCTTCATTAGCCCAGGTTAGGTGCAGAACAGTAGGACGTTAAACTCCATTTCATTTCATTTCTGAAAATTTCATTCAAATTGATCCACTATGAACCGAGAACTAAGTGATTGAAATTTCCACTTAGCCTCGATCATTATTACTAAAGTCAGTACGATAAACGTCATAGTCTTGATTATCTATGCAGTAAATCGGCTCATAATCCACTAAAGATGGCAGGCTAGCGATGCCATCTAGAGTTGATTATTGTCTGCGCCCTTATTCACGAAAACTTAAACTAAGTTACAACCGAAATTTTAAGAAATACTGCAACTTCATTGGATATATGCAAATTGATTTTACTGGTCAGCCAATCGAATTGCAGTATTTCTTAAAATTTCGATTGTATCTTAGTTTAAGTTTTCGTGAATAAGGGCCCTGTATAGGTTAATTAATGTCTAATTAATAATTTAGATAACATTTTAGGCCTAAAGAAAGACCTGCAATAGACAGATTTAGCTCTTGCATAATGTATGTTTAATCGATCGTCTTGAAAAAATTTCATACTTATTCCTTATACCCTATTGCTTTTGGTGCATGCCCGACCACCAGGGCCGGAAACACACTAATTTCTTGTATTTGTCATCCACCGGCCGCATTTCTGAACTTATCTTGACATTTTGCATTCTTATTCTTTATACCCTAAGGAACATTCCTGTTGTTTAGTGCATGCCCTACCCCCAGGGGCAGAGCCACCCCATTTTCTTTTTTTGTGTCTGTGTGTTGCCTACAGAACACGATTCCTAATGGATCGACTTGGCATGTCCCGACCCCCAGGGAAAGAGCCATGCCCAATTTTTGTGTTTATCGTATACAGACTGGAATTCTAAATAGATCATCCACTTTTTTGTTAATTTTTATCTGTAAATACTCTACAGGTTACAATAATTAACAAATTTTGTTCAAATTCAGCACATTAATCATTTCAATAACAGGGTGGTACATATTTATATTGTTCCATATCCAACCCCCAGGGGCAGAGCCATGCCCAGTTTTAGTATTTATCATCTATAGGCTGCAATTCTGAATAGATTATCTTCGAACTTTGCATATTTATTTCTTAGACCGTAAAGACGGCAACTATTTATTTTGGTGTCTGACCACTTTTCTGTTAATATTTAGTCTGTAAATTTGGCAAAACAAACCCAACGCCTAGCCTATTTTGCCTCTGGTCTATATTGCAGTCAAATCCGATATCGTACGGGCTCGTTACAATATTACGCAGAGTGTCGGAATACTCAGTTTTCTAGCCGGAAGTATTATTGTAACTTCGAAAGCCGGAAGTATAATTATAATGTAGCTTCGAATTCCCAGAATGTTATTCCCTTTAAAAATGATAAACCTTTCTGTACATTCAAAATTTTATTACATTAATTTTTATTTCATTTAACATGCGTAGGCATTTTGAATAGGTCAAGTCTGTCGTTAATTTATCTTATTGATCATCTTTAGTTGATCGCACATTTGTCTTTGGTGTCATATGTTCTTTGATAATCTGTCGTTCTATGTCAGGTCATCGTCACGCGGTTCGGATAGATCCGTAGGGTGAACAAACTGAGGTATACGCAACAAATCTTTCCAACAGTTGCTAGGAATATTTTTATGACTGTGAACAATGTGTGGGAAAATTTGTGGGTATTCTTGAGTATTTGTCAAAACTATCTTACAAGAGATTATAAAATTATCAAAGTAATCAACAAAGACCTATGCGAGTGAGTTTAAATCTCACCGATAATTGATTGGTGATTGCTTGTTAATCTTTTGTGGCTTCACACCCACCGATTGAAGGCCGGATTATACAGTGTTGATTCAATGGAAATGGTGTGACGAGACGGTTGATTGACGTCGTAATTCGGAATATTCAGAGTACGGATTACTCAAAGATTTTTTGGCTGAAATAATAAGGAAATAAATCGGGACATGAAAATGATGTCGGATTTCACAGAGTGCCAGAGTATTCAAAGTTCGGATGTGACAGAGTCCACTGTTTCAATCTCTTCATTTTAAACCAACAATAATATTTACATTAAATACTAATTTTGAACGATAAAAGAATAACAATGTATTTATGTTTATTTTAATAGGTTGAACATGTCTCAGGAATTTTCATCACCAAGACGATCAGGTTCTAGTAGCCTTATTATTAAAAGCACTGGTAAAGGTTCCAAAAGAAAGAGAGTTGAAACTGAAGAACGAACAGAGGAATTCTCAAGTCACAGTTCTATGACTGAACAGGGAAAGATTGGCATTGAAGCCGATGAAGATGGAAAATTTGTTAAAATTACTAATCTTACTGACGAAGTAAGTATTTTTCTGAAGGCTGTGTTCTAATATTTAAAAACCTAAAGAAATTAATTGTAGACTCTTTAGAGGTCACAATTCTTATCTGATTTTGACGAAACTTGCAATATAGGATTATCACCAAAAGGTCTTGGTTGCTGTCGATATTGACATTTATCGGATCGAAACTTCATGGATTATGGCCCCTGAATGTACGAAAAATCACGTTTTTAGCTTGTGGACACTCTAGAGGTCACAATTTTCATTTGATTTTGATGAAACTTGAAATACGTGTATATAACCTAAAGTTCCTTTCAATATTTGCGCATATCGGATCATAGCTTCCTGATTTTACGAAAATCGTGTCTTTAGCTTGTGGTCTCTCTAAAGCAGTGATTCTCAACCAGTGTGCCGCAAGATCTTCCTAAGTGTGCCGCGAAATTTTGAACGCCACTCTAAGAAAATAAATATACTCTTCAAAAAAAGTAGGGGATATTCAGATGCAAATACCTATGCAGGTTGTGATGTGATAAATAGTCATGGACACTTGACATGCTTTGAGAGGATGTTCACAGATGAAGAACTTATCGCCCCAACATAACCACTGAGCGGCACATGCAACATGCAATAGCGCCCTACACGTAGCAGGGGTTCATTGTCAAATTTGACACTTCAATGAAGGGTTGATGAAAACTGCTGTGTGCTGGTTTATACTATCCATGTTTGCTTTCCTATCGGTTCTTGCATAAGATTGATTGTTTAGCGTATCTTTGCTTTAGTGTGTTACGTTTAATTTGCAATGAGGAGTCTTCAACATGATGAACGTCTATGTGCTATTGGCATGCTTCAAATGGCTTTTACACATCGAGCAGTAGTCAGCATGCTTAATGTGTCACAGTCTGTGATCAGCAGACTGTAGAACCGGTACCAACAAACACACAGTGCTGATGATAGACCTTGTTCAGGTTTTCCTAGAACCACTACATAAGCCCAGGATCGATAAATTCGTACACAGGTCCTGTGAAATTGAGGACAAACGGCCAATCAGCTTTCTGTAAACTTGTACCAAGTTACAGGAATTCAAATTGCACCCCAAATGATTAGAAATCGGCAACATGCAGCCCATTTGCATGCACGGCGACCGTGTGTTGTGCCTCCATTAACTCGCCAGCACATGGCAAACAGGCGTCAATGGCAACAGGGTGTGGGTCTATTATGGTGTGGGGAGGAATCACCATGACTGGCAGAACAGACTTGCATATTTTTCAAGGAAGTGTCACTGGTGTGTACTACCATGACCACATCCTGGCACCAATAGTTCTGCCATTTGCTCAACGTGCAGGTCGACGTTTCATCTTTCAAAACGATGTCTGTGCCCACCGCGCTCGTGTCGTGAATGACTACCTCGAGTGTCAGCATATTGTCCATATGCCTTGGCCAGCCATGATTCCTGACCTTTCCCCTGTAGAGCATGTCTGGGACATGATCGGGAGACGTGTTCGGTGACATCAACAGCAACCGACAATCGTGATTCGGATGGTTGATTAGGAGCATACCACAACGATTTGCTGAATGTCGGAGGATTGGTGGAGCAATTACTCATTATTAAGACAAAAATCTAAAACGTCCATTTTCACTTTTTACAGTGAATCTCTTTGCGAGTGAAATGGGCAGTCAGATAAGCCGCCCATTTGAACTGTTTATGTTCATGTGTTGGCAATTGGCCTGTCTTTAACACACACTGGTTATCTCTAATAAAAACAGCAGTGCATTTCCACAGTTTTTATACGCCCACATTTAAATGTGGTCGTATATTGTCGTTGCGTCCGTCCGTCGTTCCGGCGTCCACAATTGCTTGTGGACGCTCTAGAGGCTAAAGTTAATATCCAAATGGCTTTAAATTCAAACACAGTGTTTAAGGTCATGAGACGAAGAAGCCTATTGATTTTTAGCGATTTCCGATAATTACTGCCAGAGTTATGGCCCTTGATCACTTCAAAAAATCTTGTGGACGCCCTAGAGGCCAAAGTTAATATCCGATTGACTTTAAATTCATACACAGTGTTTAAGGTCATGCGACGAAGAAGCCTATTGATTTTTAGCAATTTCCGATAATTACTGCCAGAGTTATGGCCCTTGATCACTTCAAAAAATCTTGTGGACGCTCTATAGGCCAAAGTTAATATCTGATTGGCTTTAAATTCATACACAGTATTTAAGGTCATGAGACGAAGAAGCCTATTGATTTTTAGCAATTTCCGAAAATTACTGCCAGAGTTATGGCCCTTGATCACTTCAAAAAATCTTTTGGACGCTCTAGAGGCCAAAGTTAATATCCGATATCCGATTTATATACTGTGTTTAAGGTCATGAGACGAAGAAGCCTATCGATTGTCAGCGATTTCCGATAATTACTGCCAGAGTTATGGCCCTTGATCACTTCAAAAAATCTTGTGGACGCTCTAGAGACCAAAGTTAATATCAGATTGACTTTAAATTCATACACATTGTTTAAGGTCATGCAACGAAGAAGCCTATTGATTTTTAGCAATTTCCGATAATTACTGCCAGAGTTATGGCCCTTGATCACTTTGAAACATCTTGTGGACGCTCTAGAGGCCAAAGTTAATACCCGTTTGACTTTAAATTTATACACAGTGTTTACGGTCATGAGACGAAGAAGCCTATTGATTTCCGATAATTATTGCCAGAGTTATGGCCCTTGATCACTTCAAAAAATCTTGTGGACGCTCTTTAGGTCAAAGTTAATATCCGATTGACTTTAAATTTATAATCCGATTTTAGTGTATTATAAATGTTTCATTACCAAAAATTAAAAATATGCGACAACTCTTGTTGACTGCCCGGACGATTTAGCTGCTGTGGGCGTATGTTTCGTTGCCTGGCAACCTATCGTTTATTGTTTCTGAATATCCCCTACTTTTTTTATATGACCACATTGAAATGTGGTCGTTATTGTCGCGGCCATCGTCGGTCCGGCGTCCACAATTGCTTGTGGGCGCTCAAGAGACTAAAGTTAATATCCGATTAACTTTAAATTTATATACAGCATTTAAGGCCATGAGGCGAAGAAACCTATTGATTTTCAGTGATTTCCGATATTTACTGCCAGAGTTATGGGCCTTGATCATTTCAAAAAAATCTTGTGGACGCTCTAGAGGCTAAAGTTAATATCCGATTACCTTTAAATTTATACACAGTGTTAAAGGTCATAAAACGAAGAAGCCTATTGATTTTCAGTGATTTTCAATAAATACTGCCAGAGTTGTGGCCCTTGATCACTTCAAAAAGTCTTGTGGGCGCTCTAGAGGCTTTAAAGTTAATGTCCGATTGACTTCAGATTGATACACAAAGTTTAAGATCTTGATACGAACAAGTATATTGATTTTCAATGAATTTTTATGACTTGAACAGCTAAATCCATGATATTAAAAGTTTCGTATGCTAAACGTTAGCATGGGGCAGAACTTTATAAAAACCAAACAAATTCTAATGGTTTTCTGATAGCTACTACATGAGTTGTTACTCTTAATCAGATTTTAGTGTATTATAAATGTTTCATTAGTGAAAAAAGTTAAAATATGCGACAAGTCTTGTTGACTGCCCCGACAATTTAGCTGCTTTGGGTGTATGTTTCGTTGCCTGGCAACCTATCTTTTTTGTCCCCCTGCCTTTCAAAGAAAGCAGGGGACTATTAAAATGGGTTTGTCCATCTGACTGCCGGCCTGTCTGTCCGTCTGTCACACTTTTTGGGACACAATTTGATTGATTGATGCTTTGGGACATGATACCTTTAGTTCTAATTAAGTGAGAGTGAGGGCACTTGGTGTATATCTTTACAGGGTTCCCGTGGTCCTTGAAAATCCTTGAATATCCTTAAATTTAAAATTTCATTTTCAAGGTCTTGAATATCCTTGAATTTCGCGGAAATAGGAAAATATCCTTGAATTTCAGTTGAGATCCTTAATTTTGTTTCAAATGTCTTGAATTCCTTTTAAATATGAGATTATAACGATAGTTAGCAGAGCTAATCAATTTCATTGGTCGATGCTTTGGGACAAGATAATCATGATTCTATCTGACAGAGAGTGATGTAACTTAGTGTATAGTTTGATTGCTCGAAACCTTTGAAAAAAATAAATGTGCAATTAATGTGTCATTTATTTATTTTGGGATTTCGGCGGGGGACATTTTCTGAAATTGAGTTCTGTTCCTTTGAATTACACATTAATATAAATGAAATGTAATATATATTTTATTTGTATTTTTATAGGAAATTCATGTTGGAAATTGGAAATTAGAACATAAAGCAGGTGATGCTGATGTCACATACAAGTTTCACCGTAATCTTATCTTAAAAGGCAATTCAACAATGACGGTAAGTTAAATATACCTTCAAAGGACTGTTTGTCTCAATTACAAAACAAATAAGTTGTAAATATCATCCACACCATCTTTACTGGGAATTGAAGGAGCAGTGATGAAGGTAATGACTGATTTAGACTCGATAAATTTTAGATCCGAATCCAATGGAAGATTGCATAACAAAGACCAAGAAATAAATATAGATTGAGCAAACATGTTCAACAAACTCACAATTCAGATTTGACCAATTTTATGAACGCAGATATGCTTTATGGTCATTTGAAATATATGTTGAAATTATATTATTGATAATTTAATTTCAGGTGTGGAGTTCTGATCAAGAAGTCACTCATGATCCTCCCTCAGATCTTGTCATGAAAAACAAACAATGGGGATCTGCTAAAGACAGTGAAACATCATTAATTAGTAATGATGGAAAGGTAAATAGATATTTATAAGCTATATTGAATGTCATTATAGAAAATAATGTTTGATCAAGCCAGTGATGGGATTTCGCCCGTATATTCTGGACATGTCTGATGCTATTTTCCGAACGTGAACAGGAATATGCCCAATGGAACATCAAGATATGGTGAATAATAATAAAAATTCCAAAATTAATATAGTGTACTGAATGTATATCTACCACGATGATAATAGGCTGGATTGATCAGGTAATTAAGTGATCAACTTATTTATCATGTTATACACCTACCTTGATTAACTACTTAATCTGCCAGGATTGACTGGCTTTATCCTTTATCGAACAATTCTAATCTTAAACAGAAGTCACTTCTTCCCCTTTGTCGGACTATTCATCAATCCAATAAGAGTGGTTATAATTTTAATCTACCTGTTAACCTCATGGTTTCTTGATTGTCGGACATTTTAACTCATTCGGTCCTACTTTCGCCAGGCGTCGACATAATTAGCTACTGCATTTCACCGGCTTACGCCACCTGTCGACTGCCTAATGTCTCATCACTTTTCCTAATAACGACTGTTGTCAGCCTTTTTGATTTAATGTTTTATTGAAGAGGAAAGTTATCAAAATAAGCCAATTGGCTTTCCAAAAGTAGTTGTCCAATAAATATATAGTTTGAACTAATTACTGGAATCATAAAATTTGTAGGTCACATCAAAGGTTTAGGGGTTATAAAGGTCTTAAACTCGCGAGACAATTTGCCCATCAACGACTGCTGCCGGCGTCTTTGATGTTCCTTTTTATTATGAGCCCACATGGACGGATATTATCGTCTTCTCCGGACGTCCGTCCACAATTGACAATTGTGGACACTCTACAATTTTTATCCAATTTCAACGAAACTTGAAATATAGGTTTTATCTCCCCAAGATCTCAGTTCCTTTCGATATTGGCATGTATGGGACCGTAACTTAATGGATTATGGCCCCTAATTGTACGACAAATCACGATTTTAGCATGTGGACCCTATAGAGGTCACTATTTTTATACGCCCACATTGAGATTTGGCCGTATATTGTAGTCGGTCCGGCTTCCACAAGAAATAGTGGACGCTCTAGAGGCTAAAATTAATATCCGATTGACTTTAAATTTATACAGTGTTTAAGGTCATGAGATGAAGAAGTCTATTGATTTTCAGCAATTTCCGATAATTATTGCCAGAGTTATGGCCCTTGATCACTTCAAAATATCTTGTGGATGCTCTAAAGGCTAAAGTTATCATCCAATTGACTTCAGATTGATACACAGAGTTTAAGGTCTTGAGACGAACAAGTATATTGGTTTTCAATGAATTTTGATAACTTGAACAGCTAAATCCAGGATATTAAATGTTTCATATGCTAAACGTTAGTATGGGGCAGAACATTATAAAAACCAAACAAATTCTAATGATTTTCTGATAATTACTTGAGTTTTTACTCTTAATCAGATTTTAGTGTATTATAAATGTTTCATTAATGTCCGGAGGATTTAGCTGCTGTGGGCGTATGTTTCGTTGCCTGGCAACCTATCTTTTTAGCTTGTGGACCCTATGGAGGTCACAATTTTATTCCGATTTAAAAAACCGTTTGAATATATCACCGTGTGAAAATAGGACCAAAACTGCTGGACAAAATGGCTGCCCCTCGTACGCAAACAGTGTAAAAAATATGGTATATCAAGGTTGTGGAACCTCTAGAGCTCACAATTTTGATCCGATTTTGATGAAACTTAAAATACATGTTTATAACCCAAAGATCTTGGTTCCTGTTGATATTCTCGCATATCGGATCGTAACTTCTTGAATTATGGCCCTTGTTTGTAGGAAAAATCACGTTTTGAGCTTGTGGTCCCTATGGAGGTCAACAATTTTTATCCGATTGAAAAAAAAAAAAAAAAATGTGTGAATATATCACAGTTATACAATATATCACAGTTATACACTAATGATGGTTGAGTTCGAATTTCGTTAAAATCTGAGGGACATGTTGGCCACCCCTTGTACGCAAATAGTGTAAAGATATGGTATATCAAGGTTGTGGACCCTCTAGAGGCCACAGTTTTTATCCGATTTGGATGAAACTTTAAATATATGTTTTTATCATAAAGATCTTGGTTCCTTTTGATAATTGCACATATCCTGGATTATGGCCCCTGATTGGTCAAAAAATCGCATTTTTAGTTTGTGGATTCTCTAGAGGTCACAATTTTTTTTCCGATTTTAGATATATCACCATTCCGTTTGGATATATCACCATTCCACCATAATGAAGGTTGAATTGGAATTTCGGGAAAATCGAAATGAAACTGCCCGACAAAATGGCCGCTCTTTGTATGCAAATTGTGTATAAGTATGTAATGCAAAGGTTATGGACCCTCTAGAGGTCACAATTTTTACCCAATTTTGATGAAACATATCTTTATATTCCAGAAATCTCAGTCCCTTTTGATATTTGTGCATTTCAGACCATAACTTTCTGGATTATGTCTCCTGATTGTACAAAAAATCATTTTTATACGTCCACATTCATAATGAATGTTGACGTATATTGCCGTCACCCCTGTGTGTGGGTGTGTGTCTGTGTGTCGCCTACAGGCCACAATTTTTAAGTGATCATCTTCAAACTTTACACATTTTCCTTATACCCTAAGGATGATCCCTATTGTTTTTGGTGCATGCCCGACCCCCAGGGGCAGAGCCAGGCCCATTTGTTGTATTTCTTTGTTTTTCATCTACAGGCTGCATTTCTTAACGTATCATAATGAAACTTTGCATACTTATTCTTTGTACCCTAAGGAACATCCCTATCGTTTGGGTTGCATGCCCTACCCCCAGGGGCATAGCCACGCCTATTTTCTTCTTGTGTGTTGCCTAAAGGCCACAATTCTTAAGTGATCATCTTGAAACTTTACACACTTATTCCTTATACCCTATGGATGATCCCTATTGTTTTTGGTGCATACCCGATCCCCAGGGACAGAGCCACACCCATTTCTTGTATTTGTTTGTTTGTCGTCTACAGGCCGCATTTCTTAACGTCTCATCTTGAATCTTTGCATACTTATTCTTTGTACCCTAAGGAAATTCCTATTGTTTGGGGTGCGTGCCCAACCCCCAGGGACAGAGCCACGCCCATTTCTTGTTTTTATTTGTTTGTCGTCTACAGACTGCATTTCTTAACATATTATACTGAAAATTTGCATACTTATTCTTTGTACCCTAAGGAACATCCCTGTTGTTTGGGGTGCCATGCCCTACCCCCAGGGGCAGAGCCATGCCCATTTTCTTTTTGTGTGTCGCCTACAGGCCACAAGTCTTAAGTGATCATCTTGAAACTTTACACACTTATTCCTTATACCCTATGGATGATCCCTATTGTTTTTGGTGCATGCCCGACCCCCTTGGACAGAGCCACGCCCATTTCTTGTATTTGTTTGTCATCTTCAGGCCGCAATTCTTAACAGATCATTTTGAAACTATGCATACCTATTCCTTATACCCCAAGGATGCCCCCTATTGTTTTTTTGGTGATTGCCCAACCCCCAGGGACAGAGCCACACCCATTTGTTCTTTGTGTCCCTGTGAGTTGCCTACAGGCCACAATTCCTAATCGTCTTTGAACTTGGGATATGTATTCCTTATAGCCTAAGGACAACAACTGCTTGTCCCGCCCCCCAGGGGCAGAGCCACGCCCAATTTTTGTGTTTATCGTTTACAGGCCGGAGTTCTGAATGGATCAACTTTGTACTTGGCATATGTATTCCTTATACTCTTATAGCCTAAAGGTGTCAACTATTGATTTTGGTGAATGCCCCGACCACCAGGGGCAGATCCACGCCCAATTTTTGCCTTTAGAGCCCCAAGGCCACAATTCTGAATGGATTATCTTGGAATTTGAAATCCTTATTTCTTATACGCTAAGGACGGCACCTATTCATATTGTTCCATATCCAATCGCCAGGGGAAGAGCCACGCCCATTTTTTGTATTTATCGTCTACAGGCTGCAATTCTGAATGGATCATCTTGGAACTTTGCATATTTATTCTTTATACCGTAAAGACAGCAACTATTTATTTTGGTGCTTGCTCCGACCTCCTGGGACAGTGTCACCCCCACTTTTTGGTTACTATTTTGTCTGTAAATTTGGCAAAACAAACCCAACGCCTAGCCGTCTTTGCCTTTTATCATATTACAACCATTTCATTTTTCATTCTCTTCATTTTAAAAAGTACCATATCAATCAATGCTGGAATGTGGATGTATATTGCAGCGTTAGCGATGCTCTTGTTGTTTTTAGCTTGTTCTCTATCCATCTCTTGCTAAATGTGGGCGTATTGTGCCTGGCAGCCGCTGGTTAATTGTGGGATGAATTAGTCTGCTTAAATAACGATAATAGTTATGCCTTTTATTTTTATACGCCCACATTGAAATGTGGTCGTAGATAGTTGTTGCCCCCGTCCGGCTCTATAGGCTAAAGTTAATATCCGATTGACTTTAAATTTATACACAGTGTTTAAGGTCATGAGACGAAGAAGCCTTTTGATTTTCAGCGATTTTCGATAATTACTGACAGAGTTATGGCCTTTGATCACTTCAAAAAATCTTGTGGACGCTCTAGAGGTCAAAGTTAATATCCGATTGACTTTAAATCTATACACTTTGTTTAAGGTCATGAGACGAAGAAGCCTATTGATTTTCAACAATTTTCGATAATTACTGCCAGAGTTATGGCCCTTGATCACTTCAAAAAAATCTTGTGGACGCTCTAGAGGTCAAAGTTAAATATCCGATTGATTTTAAATTTATACACAGTGTTTAAGGTCATGAGACGAAGAAGCCTATTGACTTTCAGTGATTTCAGATAATTAATGCCAGAGTTATGGCCCTTGATCACTTTGAAAAATCTTGTGGACGCTCTAGAGGCTAAAGTTAATATCCGATTGTCTTTAAATTTATACACAGTGTTTAAGGTCGTGAGATGAAGAAGTCTATACATTTTCAGTGGTTTTTCGATAATTACTGCTAGTTATTAGAGGCTAAAGTTAATATTTGACTTTAAATTTATAAACAGTGTTTGAGGTCATGAGACGAAGAATCCTATTGATTTTCAACGATTTCTGATAATTACTGCCAAAGTTATGGCCCTTGATCATTTTGAAAAACTTGTGACGCTCTAGAGGCTAAAGTTATTATCTGATTGACTTCAGATTGATACAGAGTTTCAGATCTTGAGACGAACAAGTATATTGATTTTCAATGAATTTTTATGACTTGAACAGCTAAAAGTTTCGTATACTAAACGTTAGCATGGGGCAGAACTTTATAAAAACCAAACAAATTTTAATGGTTTTCTGATAATTACTTCATGAGTTGTAACTCTTAATCAGATTTTAGTGTATTATAAATGTTTCATTACCAAAAAAAGTAAAAATATGCGAAAAAATATGCGACAACACTTGTAGACTGCCCGAACGATTTAGCTGCTGTGGGCGTATTTTTTCGTTGCCTGGCAACCTATCTTTGATAAAATGTACAAGTAAAATTTTGAAATCTCATCACTGGACCAAACTTCTCATTTGCACCTAATCACTTTTGCAAACTTTACTGTACTGTAATTTTTATAAAGTCATTATCGTATCCTCTTTAAATTCATTTTCTTTGTTACCATTATTGTAATGATTATGTGATATAATTATGTCAACTTGTCAGTGATATTTTATAGTATAAAGATTTTGCTGAATATATGCACAAATTTAAATGTTGTCCTGGTTGAAATTTTTGTGGATTCCCCAGAGACGAAGAATCCAGTTGATTTTTCAAAATTTCCAATAAATAGTCACAATAATTGATCAGTAAACATGTGTACGTTTATATTCATGAGACAAAGAAGCAAATGGAAAATAGCAAATACTTGCCTTCATGAAAGCTTCCTAAATTAGTTTATTCTGCTAGTAAAATGCAAAATCAGTTTATCATATTGGTGGAAAATAAATTGTTAATCTTTCAGCTTGAAGGTAAATTAATCCGTCACAATTCAATGGTAAAGAGTATGTCTTCATTCCGATCCAGTATAAGACGACCTGATGAAGTCGATGGTGTTGAGGTGAGTTATTTCCCTTTCAAAATGTGGAGATTATTGCAATTAATTTAATGTGTCATCTATTTGTTGGCCTCACTGTTAAATTGATTCTTTAAGTTGGCCTCACTGTTAAATTGATTCTTTAAGATTCTTGACAAAATCTTTACCTTATCTAATCAAATTACTTTAATGTTTGAACCTATAGTGAAATGTTACACATTCTACACAGAAGGCTGTTGTTTTTTCCTCAGATCTTCTGTTTTGATATCCCAATAAATTTTTTTTTACAAATGGTAACTTGATGACTGTTTTTACAGAATCCAGGTCTAACATTTCATTCATTAATTTTAATAGATATTTAATGAGTGATGTTTTTGTTTGTATGTGTTCAGTTTGTAATTCCATATGAGCAGGGCAATTAGAAATAAAATGTGGTAATCTGTTTCACTTGTGTGAATTGCATTATCCAAATACAATGCATTTAATCATTATGTCCGGTCATATTTTCAGGTCCAAGATAAAGAAAAATGTGCTATTATGTAAATTGTTAACATATTGTACTTCTCTTCATCATATGAAGCAGCTGTAAAATGGTATAGGAGTGATCCATAGAAAGACATCTGAATTACAAATAGAAAAAGTAAACCTGTAGCTATATTTTAGATTAGGACATTCTTTAGGCTTTCTTTGCAGTCCATAATACTTTGTGATACTTGTACACTGTCTATATGTATATTTATTTCGTTTTCTTTTGTAATTATTTTAACCTTAGTGCAGAAAATGTATATATATATATATATTTAGAGTTAAGATCATGTACTGCCAATCTAATGAGTCACTACTAACCAGAAAACTTGTACAAATTTTATATCGATATCTTATTTTCTATGTACAATGGAAAGAGATAGTGACATTAAGTTAGCGATTTTATTTTGGTATTCATCCAAAACAACGATGATTAATATTTTACAAATTAAGTTTTGCTGCAATTGAACAATTGTGGGTCATTCTTTATTCTCTTTTATGAATCTCAATGAATTGTATTTTTATATGCCCACATTGGTTGTATATTGTTGTCGCCCCTGTCCAACTGATGTCAATTTATAGAAACTCATGAAAGCTCTGGGAACAAGGTGTCATCCAGTTGCTTGAAATTGATATGCATTGTTCAAATTAGGGAAACATAACGGCCTTTCAGATTTCAAGAATTTCTGTTATTTTTTTGATGTGGCCCTTGCTCACTTTGGAATTTAGTTGATGCTTTCAACAACAGAAGTTATCTTATCAGCTTTAAATTTATCTCCTATGTTTGGATTATTGCGCTGAATAACAGTTACAACTAATTAGTTATTGCCCTTGATTAAATGAATGATATAAAACAGCATAAAGATTTTCTTTTCATATGATAGAAATAATTCACTATGCGACAACCTTTAGGGACTGCTCTGGCAACTTACCCATAGCTGCTGTGTGCACATGTTTCATTGTCAGGCAACATACATAATGTACATACATTTCCTAGAAAAACATCTTTGTGCTAATTATGAGATAATAGGGATTATGTCAAAGATATGAATTTCGTTATTTTTAAATTGATTTGTCAGTCACAAAGTTAAGATAAAAGTTATTGGATGTAATGTCCAGTGAGCACAGTACACAATAAAATAAGAATATTGACTTATTGTACAAATTATTAGGTAATAGTAGAATTACAACCTTTATATCTCTTATTTGCTTTTAATCCAAAATAACTTGCCAACTGATATCTTCCTTTTTATTGACTGTTTTTTTTTTATGTTAAAGGACAGGTCAATGAAGTGAGAATTGAGTTAACGAATATTGCTAAGAATTTACAGCATTTTTTGAATGGAAAGACCACTTTGTGCTGTCTTTATTGAGGTTTTGTTTCACCTATAATTTATCAAAAATTTATTTAAATTCTTGGTGAAATTGAAAAGTTCATATAGTAAAATGCAAATTTATGGATCTGTTGATTCAGTGCCATAACGATTGATTTAATATATACAGTGTAAATAAAACTATAATCTGATTTCATAATTTCATTGTTGCATATCAAATAACATAAGCATACACTGTGTGTGCATATTGGTTCATTGAATTATCATAATAATAAAGCTGTACCATGTAACAGGGCCACAAAAGATCTAGAAACATATTCCGCATTCATTTACATTGTTATATTTTCTTGTGTTATAGAAAACGTTCTATATTTCTTTCATAATTATTTTTAAAAAAATATTTATACTTGTTAAATGTAAAAGGATATTCATTCATACATTCATTTATGTTTCTTTTGTATATCATTTTAAACATGTTCTAGAATTACTTATGTATATGATATTATGATAAAAAAAAAAGTACTACAGTGGATTCGGTCAATTCCGACATCGTACAGGATCGATACAAAATGGCCGCTTAGGCAGCATGTCGGAATACTGAATTATGCCGGAAGTACTAGATGTAGAGTACCAGAATCTGTAGAGGTTTGCCGAGTGTGTATTTGACGTGAGAAACTCAAATCAATTCCAAAACGCTCTCTTTATCAAATTATAGAGGTAATCAACAAAGACCGGCACATGTTTTATGCTCACAGATAATTGATTGGTGATTGCTTGTCGGTTAACACCCACTGATTGAAGGCCGGATTATCCAATGTTAATTCAACGCAAATCGTGTGACAGGAACAATGATTGAAGGCCGGATTATCCAATGTTAATTCAATGCAAATAGTGGGACAGGACAGCTGATTGCTGTCGCAATTCGGAATATTCAGAATCTGGACTACCCAAAACTCTTTTATTTGAAGTAATAAGGAAATCGGGACATGAAAATGATGATGGATTTCACAGCATGCCGTAGTATTCAGATGTCGGAAGTGACAGAGTCCACTGTATATAGAAATTAGTAAAAAATATTTAGGAAATAGATTTAGTGAAGTCATTTAAAATAGGTCTACCCGGTCTTGTGTACTATTAGAATATGTATAACTTTTATATACCTTAATTCTATAACCATTGATATCTCATTTTATTCTGTATTGTGTAAAGAGAAGTTGCTAAAGAGTACTACTCGAGAGGTTTTTTTTTAATTTGCTTTTATAATCAATTTATACATATATTTGCATTATACTTGTTTTAGCTTGCACAAGGAAAACTCTTTTTGTATAGCATAATTGCTCAGGTTCAGTGTAGCCTTGTAATAAAAGTCCAGTTATTAGTAAGGACGTGGAACAATGTAACATGCACAAAGTTTTGGTATACACTTGACCAATCCACCTTCAACATCTAGTAAAGCCTTTTCCTTTCCATAACTTTCAATTTAACCTTTAACCTAGGACATTACCTATTGAAGGAGATTACAAAGCTATTAGTAAACTTAACGATATAGGAAATTACTTGGTTATGTGTAGAAGAAAATGAACTAGTTTATGTAGAGAATAGTAATGTTTTATTGATATGATACTGGTAACAAATGGTTGTGTGATGTACTTATACCATCTAACATCAACAACGGGTACATATTTAGATAATCATATTTTGAAATCATGTTGATTTTTTTTTATCAGATCACTTTACACCCTTGAATAAAATCTTGAACAGAAGCAATGTCTTTTTCTTTATTTCATGGGAGAATAATGACCAGTTATATAGGGGAAAGTGTCCCCGGTTTGCTAGCTGTTTTACATTTAGACTGCTGATAATAAGCTTGCTGGCAGTAATTATGACAAAATTATTGTCCCACGCCTTTAGAAGAAAGCAGGGGACTATTAAAATGTGTTCATCCGTCTGTCACAGTTTTTGGGACATAACAACTCTGTTTTTAATTGAGGTAGAATGTTTAAACTTGATGTTGATGTTCATTAGGTGAATGTCTTGACTGATTTCAGTGATTAACAATTAAATAAGCTTTCCAAATATTATTAGTAAAAGTTGGCACAATCATATTAAAGGGGCATGCTCTCAACCTGAATATAGCCAATTTTCAACATTTTATACGTAAAGATAGACTGTTTTTTTTTTTCGAAGTTCAAATTTGGATCATCGTACAAAACTCTCAGCATTCAACTATACATATTCTAAAAGGTAATTAAGTAATCTTTCCCAATATTATTAGTAAAAGTTGGCACATTCATATTAAAGGGGCGCGCTCTCAACCTGAACATAGCCAATTTTTCAATATTCTAAATATAAAGGTGGACCTTGGCCATGTTTAGATTGAGAGCACGCCCCTTTAATATGAATATATATAGTTGAATGCTCAGAATTTTGTACGATGATCCGAATTGGAACTTCGAAAAAATACAGGTCTGTTCGGGTTGAGAGAGCGCCCCTTTAATATGATTGTGCCAACTTTTACTAATAATATTTGGAAAGCTTATTTAATTACCTTTCAATATATGTTTAGCTGGATCAAAATTTTGTACGATGGTTCGAATTTGAAACTCGAAAAAAATACAGCTCTATCTTTACATTTAGAATATTGAAAAATTGGCTACGTTCAGGTTGAAAGCGCGCCCTTTAATATGATTGTGCCAACTTTTACTGTTAATTTTGGGAAAGCTTGTTTAATTACCTTTCAGAATATATTTAGTTGTTGGATGCTCTGAATTTTGTACCATGATCCAAATTTTGATACGGAATATTAATTGTTCCGTTCAGAATATTGAAACATTGGCAAGTGTTCGGGTTGAGAGCGCGCCCCTTTAATATGATTGTGCCAACTTTTACTAAAAATATTTGGAAAGCTTAGTTAATAACCTTTCAGAATATATTTAGTTGGATCATCCAAATTTTGTACGATGGTCCGAATTTTGACTTAGGATATTAACAGTCTTTCCCTTTAAAATATTCTTAAAAATAGGCGATGTTCAGGTTGTCAGCGCGCCCCTTTAATATGATTGTGCCAACTGTTACTAATAATTTTTGGAAAGCTTGTTTAATTACCGTTCAGAATATATATAGTTGGATGCTCAGAATTTTGTACGATGATCCGAATTTTGACACGGAAAATTAACTGTCTTTCCCTAGAGAATATTGAAACATTGGCAGTGTTCGGGTTGAGGGCGCGCCCCTGTTATATGATTGCGCCAACTTTTACTAATAATATTTGGAAAGCTTATTTCATTACCTTTCCGAATATATTTAGTTGGGTCATCCAAATTTTGTACGATGGTCCGAATTTTGACTATTAACGGTCTTTATTTTAAAAATATTTGAATAAATTGGCTATGTTTAGGATGAAAGCGCACCTCTTTAATATTATTGTGCCAACTTTTACTAATAATATGTGGAAAGCTTACTTAAAGGCTCAATACCACTCTTGTTGTAACTGAATAATATGTCCCAATCTTTATTCTGGTCATCAAATTGTACTATTTTAGAATATTTCAATTAATTGATGATACAAATTTCATCTTAACACACCTTATTTAAAATTTTTGAAAAATTCAACATAATGGTTTGAAACGTCTAACGTAAACCTTTTCAAATGAAACTTTGATTTAAAAATATTTTCGGACCCTCTGGACAAGTAAAATGGGATGTAATGGATAATTTACACAACAGGTAGGACACTTAAACATCTAGTACTTAGATAGTCGAATCTGCCGCTAGGCGAATAGGTTGCCAATTTGTGTTCGGTGATTCGAGGCGGGGTTCCACACTGATCAGCAGTGAATATTCGCTAGGCCTCTACAATCATTGATAAGGATGACATTAATGAGTATCAAATATTAACTTTTTTCCACCGACAAATTAAATTCTAAAACATTTTTTTGATGTATTAGAAAAATAAATAAAGGCGTTTGACGTATTTGTAGGTAAAAATTATTCCTATTTAGTGTAAATGGGTATTAAAATGACTAACAGGCAGCATTCTGCCCGAAGCAGTAACGCTATTTAGCCAATGATTGACGCCGCGTGCTGTGACGGCACGTGTCAAAGGCAGTCATCTTTTACAGAGATATTAGAAGACTCGTAATTCTCTGTGAAACAGATTGGCAGGGTTCGTGGCTTCAATAAACAAGGGGTACGTCCACGCTGCATCAAAAAGCACTTTGGTGGCAAAATGTTTTGTATTTCACAGAGTCAAGGGATGAATAAACTACTAGAATATAAAAATCCAGAATCCTCCTATGCTGGTTTTTCGAGATATATTACCGTAAACGTACCAAATATGTTGGGGAATTCAATCGGATTAGGGTTGGCTCTTCTGCCTTCTAGCACGCTTCTCTAATGCCTCAGTGTCTCCATAGTTTTCATCCACTGTTCATCAATGAAGTTTTCACTTACCATTTTCCTTTCACCTCGTTAATCTTCCAAGATATCAAATTCGACTGAGGTCATTTTCACACCATGAAAACTTTCGAAGCGCTTTCTAACCTCTGTATCGTCATAATTTAATAGATATCAAACAATTGAGAATATTCAGTGTTAAATAGTTTAACATTCTCTTAATATACTGAGCGCCATGGAAAACGCATCACTTAGTTTTTCGTATAACAAAATGATCCTGTAAACATATCTTATTTATTTTGCTTCTTATTGTGAACAATATTCAAATGGGAACACATCAATAACAACACATTTGTACACTTATGGATCTTTAATCTGTAATCAACGGTACAAAGTCAGAGGGGTCAAAACCAAAAGTACGACACAGATGTCAGTAGCGCGTGTGTCCTCCACGGGCTCTTACGCACGCCGTGCAGCGACGTCGCATGGAATTTACCAATGTTTGAAAGAAGGCCTGGGGCAAATTGTTCCATTCTTGGACAAGAGCAGCTTCTAAAGCAGCAATGGTGTGCATCTGTGGTCTCCGATACAGACGGCGTCCAATCAATGGGTATTAAAATGACTAACAGGCAGCATTCTGCCCGAAGCAGTAACGCTATTTAGCCAATGATTGACGCCGCGTGCTGTGACGGCACGTGTCAAAGGCAGTTATCTTTTACAGAGATATTAGAAGACTCGTAATTCTCTGTGAAACAGATTGGCAGGGTTCGTGGCTTCAATAAACAAGGGGTACGTCCACGCTGCATCAAAAAGCACTTTGGTGGCAAAATGTTTTGTATTTCACAGAGTCAAGGGATGAATAAACTACTAGAATATAAAAATCCAGAATCCTCCTATGCTGGTTTTTCGAGATATATTACCGTAAACGTACCAAATATGTTGGGGAATTCAATCGGATTAGGGTTGGCTCTTCTGCCTTCTAGCACGCTTCTCTAATGCCTCAGTGTCTCCATAGTTTTCATCCACTGTTCATCAATGAAGTTTTCACTTACCATTTTCCTTTCACCTCGTTAATCTTCCAAGATATCAAATTCGACTGAGGTCATTTTCACACCATGAAAACTTTCGAAGCGCTTTCTAACCTCTGTATCGTCATAATTTAATAGATATCAAACAATTGAGAATATTCAGTGTTAAATAGTTTAACATTCTCTTAATATACTGAGCGCCATGGAAAACGCATCACTTAGTTTTTCGTATAACAAAATGATCCTGTAAACATATCTTATTTATTTTGCTTCTTATTGTGAACAATATTCAAATGGGAACACATCAATAACAACACATTTGTACACTTATGGATCTTTAATCTGTAATCAACGGTACAAAGTCAGAGGGGTCAAAACCAAAAGTACGACACAGATGTCAGTAGCGCGTGTGTCCTCCACGGGCTCTTACGCACGCCGTGCAGCGACGTCGCATGGAATTTACCAATGTTTGAAAGAAGGCCTGGGGCAAATTGTTCCATTCTTGGACAAGAGCAGCTTCTAAAGCAGCAATGGTGTGCATCTGTGGTCTCCGATACAGACGGCGTCCAATCTCATCCCAGACATGTTCTATCGGTGCCATGTCCGGAGACATGGCTGGCCAGTCCATACATTGATGTTGTTAGCAGCCAGGTAGTCCATACTAAAACGGGCGGTATGCGGACGTGCATTATCCTGTTGGAAGTGCTGAAGTTGTGGGTGCGCTCGAAACATCGGAACAACAATTGGTTGCAAGACATCATAGCGGTAGGCTACAGCATTAACGCGACCCCTGCAAATGTGTAGGGCGGTCCGGTGATGAAATGTGAAGCCTCCCCACACCATTACACTTCCCCCACCCCATCGATTCGTTTCGAAGACGCATCAGTCTGCAAGACGTTCCCCAAGACGTCTCCACACACGTTGACGGCCACCAGCGTGATAAAGATGAAAGCGACTCTCATCACTGAAGAGAACACTTTGCCAGTCTACTCTTCTCTATGTCTGGTGTCCTTGAGCCCATATCAAACGCCGCTGATGATCCCTGAGGATAGCTCCAACATAAGGTCGTCGTGCACGGAGTCCTACTTCTCTTAGACGACGTCTTACGGTGTTGGCACTTACTGGTCCTTGTCTTCCGAAGACTGCTGCACCTGTTCGAGTCGCTGGGTGGAATCTGTCACGCAGATGAGTGACCCGGATGTAGCGGTCTTGAGCCTGGGTTGTAACGCGTTGAGGACCAGGACGTTGACGGTCACGTGTTGATCTAGTAACTCGAACACGTTCCACCAACCTTACAATAGTGGACTGATGACAATTGAAGTGTCTGGCAATAGCACGTG